TGATAATGAAGTAAATTTTTATTTAATAATAAAATAATCAAATTTCAAATATCCTAATTTTTTTTTTTTTTTTTTTTTTTTTTTAATAGCCTATAATAATAACTAATTAAGAAATAAGTTTGGATTTAGACCTACCTACTCTTTCATCTGAAAAGCAACAGGAATTAACGAAGCTTGTGGTAGCGTTCATCATATATGATGTTCAACCATTACACGTATTAAAAAATCCATCTTTCCGTAAGCTTCTATGTGGTTTCAAACCACAGTATCAAATACCAAGCACTAATACAGTTAAAAAATATATTTCTGAAGCTTATTCGTGGGGTCTGAAAAGCTTAAAGTGCTATTATTGAATGTTAGTACTGTTAATTTGACAACAGACTTGTGGACTGCGAAGAGTAATCACAGTTATCTTGGTATAACCGCAACATGGCTAACATCAGATTTTAAGCTTCAGGAAGCATTACTCTCGAATAATCATATGCCATATCCACATACAGGTCAAAGTATTAGTGAAGAATTATTTCTTATAATACATAAGTGGGGATTAGTAGATAAAGTGCATACAATTGTAACGGATAATGGTGCTAACATGATAAAGAGCATTAATTTGTTAAAAGAAAATTACTTGCCTAATATTATTTGGCAATCATGCGTCACTCATACCCTTCAACTTTCAGTAAAAGAAGGGTTAAAACAAATTAAGCCAATTCATAAACGGCTTAAAAGCATTCAATCATTTTTTAGACTTCCAAAGCAGGCGCAACGATTGTAAAGAATACAAATACAAATAAGTTCATTTGATGAAAACCAAGACGATGCTGAAGATGAAATAATAAGCCCACTTGATGTTTTGACTGACTGTAAGACCCGTTGGAATTCTACTTACTTGGCGTGGAAACGAATTTTATTGTTGCATCCCACAATGCTAAGGCTTGTAACATCATTACAAAATAAGCCAGATGCTATATCGAAACGGGAGGGTAAAAAGCTTCTTAAATTGTGTTTGACTACAGAAGAAAAAGAGTATGTTTTAATGTTAGACATAATCTTAATTATACTGTATTTCTAGTAATGAATAACATAAAATTATATGGATCAGTATAATATAGAATTATAAAATACCTATAAATCATATAATAGAGTATATTATTCTATTAATTTTTTTTTTTTTTTTTTTTTTTTTTTTTTTTAAGATTTGTAGAACAAATGGTTGATCTCTTAAAACCATTTGAAGAAATTACAAGGCATATTTGTGGATCAAATTATCTACCCTAAATCTCGTATATCCTTACATTCGAATTTTAAAAAATAAGTTTGCACCAATAAGCGAGAAAGGAGAATCGTTAGAATCTTGGATTGATCTAATTTATGGCTTAGAAGAGTTAGATACTACCGATGAGTCAAGCCTCAGTAGTGATAATGAAGCTGATATACCATTAGCTGGAAATCAGCAACAATGGCAATATACACATAGAAGTGTACATCGCTATAAAAATCAGGTTAAGTATAAAAGAAAAAAAAAAAAAAGAAAAAAAAAAGTAATTCCTGAGTTAAGTGATACTAATACCATAGAATATTTGCCATCCACAAATTGTTCTGGGCTTTTAGAAAAAGCACAAGCTGCTATTTTTCTATCTCTTAATGAATTATGGAGCATATCTAATGAAATGGGCTTGAAGGTAGTGTTTCAAATCGATTAACTAGTTAATCTACGAGTTGTTTAAATAACAGCTATATAATTATATCTTGATATATCAACTAATAATTAGTCAATTAATTAATTGACTAATCGATTTTTAAAAAAAATTTGACCAACTAATCAATTACATTTTTTTGGTTCGATTTATAACGAAGGCTTCCATTTTAGATCCACGAGCATTAAATTTGCTTCCATTTGTCACTACTCAAGAGAAAAAAGAAACTGAAGCCCAGATTCGTGCTGAATTATTAGTATTAGAAACTCAGGTAACCAATTCAAATAGTGAAGAAATAGAAAGAAATTTAGTAACTACCAATGAAGATCTTCAAGATTCGTTAAGCACTGAGCTATGGGGATCATGTTCAATACCTGATCAAAATGTTACTAAAGATGAATTCACTTGCTATATGAAAGAACCAATTGCTCATAAAAATCATGACCCATTAATGTGGTGGGAAAATAAATGTATAAATTATCCACTTCTTAGCCAACTTGCTCGCAAGTACCTATCTATTCCCGCTACATCAGTCCCATTAGAACTGTTGTTTTCTGATACGAATGCACATATTTCAGCTAGAAGGACTCGTCTTGACCCTAATCTAGTAGATAAGATGCTATTTTTAAAAAGAAATTCTGAACACTTTCCTATGTTTCCGCCTAAAAATGTATAATTTTGTAATCTAGTAAAGTAATAGATAATGCTAAAACGTGCAAAACATATATAAACTTATCTTAATAAATAATAAGCACATTCCAATCTTACAATTCCAAGTGCGATCTTGTAAGAGGTTGTCGTTAAAATTTAGTATACTCTACATAAAATCCAAAGTTAATACGTAGCTTTGAAAGGGCGTATAATTTCATATAATTTTTGGCCAATAAGTTAACGTATTATCACGTTAAATCCGGATATAATCATTAAATCCAGTTATCATAACTAAATTCGGATATAATTATTAAATCCGGATTTAATCATTAAATCTGAATTTAATAATTATATCCGGATTTAAGGAGTTATATCCGGATCCACGTATTAACTCTACTACCACCTGCACCAATGACAAAACACCACTATCTTGGCCTTTAGTAACTCTAACACCAACTCTAACATCAATAATGAAATCTACCACTAGCAACAGCAACATTAATAACAAAATTCCAAGGGTGATATCAACACAAATAATACTAATACTATAGATGCTAGTAAAATTAATTTTATTAATTTCACCAATTTATCACCAATTTTACCAATAGTGGTGAAATTATTTCATCACATTTTACCAGTATCTATAGCTGACACTAATGACAAATTTTCACTATTAGCAATGATGACACCAATAGCAAAAGTTTACTACTAGCCAATGACAAAACCACTACTAACAATGATAACACCAATAATGAAATCCAAAAGTGTTTGTATCAAATGATACAAACCACTTGAAAGGCTATACAAATAACACAATTTACTATTTGCAAAAAGCTATACAAAATTGTATATAGCAAATACAAACTACTCAAACAACACTTATTAAAAAGAAAAATAAAGTATTAATAACTATTACCTGTAATATAAAATGAATAAAAAAAAGATACTTAGTGTTAAGTGATTGATTATTAATGATCAGTTCAGCTATATCGAGTTTAAGGTCATCCAAGCTATATATAATAAATCTGATTACATGTTATATTAAAATATATAAATAGTTTGAATGACTTTATCAAAGTTAATCTTTTTTTTATTTATTGTAATAATACTAGCTTAATTCATCTATTTACTAGCAATACCGAAACAGTATCATTACTTAATGCTAAGTATTTTTTTTTGTCCGTTCTATATATAGTTAACAGTTACTAATACTTTATTGTTTAAGTGTTTCACAGATGGTGAATTGTCATTAATAATGTGCTTGGTTTTGCTATTTGTATCACCATTGTTGGTATTGTTATTAACATTATCATTGCTAGTTGTGAAACTTTGCTGTTAGTGTTACCATTATTGGTAGTGAAACTTCAATGTTTGGGATTTTGCTATTGCCGGTAATAAAATTTTATTGTTGGTATTGGTATTACAGAAAGATTAATTATACTATTATATTAAATGCATATTAATTTGGGTATTAATTCAAGACACTATATGCCAGTGCTGGGAAATTGGACAGTTTTGGTTTTTGGACACCTTGTCCAAAACCAAACCTAAATTTAATTAGTTTTGAACAAAATTATATATATATAATTTATTTAGGAAATTGATAATGCCACACCTATATAAATCATTTTAAATTTTTAGAATTTTTTTTAACTTTAATCAAAGATATTTTAACACTTACCTGACTAAATTAGATTTTTTTTTTTGAATTCTACAGCTTTCTATAATTAAAATAAAAAAAAGTTGATCAAATTTGGTTAGGTAGTTGCCAAGATATCTTTGTTCAAAGTTTTATAAAATTTTAAAATACTTAAATATATACTGTAGTAAAAATTGTTTTCAAACTTTAATCAAAGATATCTTGGCAGCCATCTGACCCAATTTGATCAACATTTTTTTGTTTTAATTATAGAAAGCCTTAGAATTCAAAAAATAAAAGTTGATCAAATTTAGTCAGGTGAGTGCCAAGATATATTCAATCAAAGCTTTTGTAAAATTCTAAACATTTATTAAATATAAGCTTTGGCAAAAATTGTTTACAAACTTTAATTGAAGATATCTCGGCACTCATCTGACTAAATTCGATCAACTTTTTTTTGGTTTAATTATAGAAAGCTGTAGAATTCAAAGAAAAAAAGTAATCAAATTTGGTCAGGTGAGTGTCAAGATATCTTTGATTAAAGAGTTTGTAAAATTCCAAATGTCTATCAAATATAAGTTATGGTAAAAGTTGTTTACAAACTTTGATTGAAGTTATCTCAGCATCTACTTAAACAAATTTGATTATTTTTTTTTATTTTAATTATAGAAAGCTGCAGAATTCAAAGAAAAAAATTTGATTGAATTTGGTCAGGTGGGTGCTAAGATATCTTCGATCAAATGTTTTTATAAAATTCTAAACATCTATCAAATATAAGCTGCAGCAAAAGTTGTTTACAAACTTTGATCGAGGTTATCTCGGCACCTATCTGACCAAATTTAATCATCTTTTTTTTCTTTAAATTTTGTAGCTTTCTATAATTAAAATAAACAAAAGTTAAATGAATTTGGGTAGGTGGATGCCAAGTTATCTTAGATCAAAGTTTTGTTTTATAAAATTCTAAATGTCTATCAAATATAAGCTGTAGCAAAAATTGTTTACAAACTTTGATTGAAGATATTACAACACCCACCTAGCCAAATTAGATCAACTTTTTTTTATTTTAATTATAAAAGGCTGTATAATTCAAAGAAAAAAATAAATCAAATTTGGTTAGGTGAATACTAAGATATCTTCAATCAAAGTTAAAAAAAAAATTTAACAAATTTTAAATAGTTTTGAACAGTTTTGGACAATTTTGAACAGTTTTGAACATGTCCAAAACTGTCCAATTAAAAAATTTAATTGGACGTGTCCAATTCCCAGCACTGCTATATGCTATTTTAGGGGTCCAGATTTTGAAATAATGCTCTGAGTATTAGTTTGCTCTTATATAGTAAATATTTCTTGTTATAACTAGAGATATTATTAATTTATTCAGCTCTATTAATTAATTAGTTTTTATTGTTGAAGCTGATAATATCCCTAGTTATAATAATACATTCACATAGTACTGCTATTAAACAAGTAATATAAATTAGAATTAGTAGTATAAAGATAAAGGATACTTTATTTAAAATAATAAATTACATTTAAAATATATCAAATAATCCAATTCAATTTTACAATAACTAAATAAATTTAAAAATATTGAACTTCTTAAAACTGATCATGTTAAAAATTAATAACCTGTTAAATCTAATAGAAAATTAACCTACCAAGCCTGTTTCTATACAAACCTAATTGTTTATAATGTTTTCAACTTCAATAATCTCTTAATACTGATAAAAACTTGTTTATTACATATATCGGTTTGAAAAGTTTAGCAGTATTTTGAATCTTCAAATATTTCTTTTTTGAGAAATAGTAATTTGGTAAGTATAATAAAAAAATTAAATAATTATACATGTAGAGGTCAGAACCGTTAATCGTATTTATAGATATTCACACTATTAACCGTATATCCGGATGTCATAATTTTCTCACAGATAGCAACTATATTTATGAATTTTTAAAAGGATAATCTAGCAGATATCTGCGGGTATCTGCATGAATAACTGCATATCCAGATGCTATAAATACTTAACAGATAATAACACTATAATAACCATTACCCCTTTGTTTTTAAAAGGATAATCTAATAGCTAACAAGTATGTACTATATGTATATATTTATCTACGGCTAACTAAAATCCTATGGCTTCAGATAAAAGCCAACATCTTTGTTCAAACTAACTTATTAAATTTATAAAAATGTAACATTTGAATAAAAAATATATTAATGACAGATCAATATGTATTCTCTTTTTATTAAATATTAATATTGACTTTCAGGATTTCGCTTTTATATTATATTGTAAAGAACATTATACTGTAACATAACCAAATATTAAATATGTGTCATTCTTTTTCTCTTGCGTCTTATCTTTTTTTTACCTCCTCTTATCACATCTTACTGTTTTTTGCTCCTTTTAATTTTTTTTTTTTTTAAACGCCTTGCTTTTTACTTTTTACCTTCTTAATTCGAACCTCTAACTTCTAATAATGTTAAGCACTAAGGTGCAACTTTATAATAATTTTTTTTTTAAAAAATTACTTTATACAACCAAGCCTCTTTATAGTCACCCATATATGAGCACATAATATATAAGTTCTCTTTCTATTAAAACCAATTACTACGTATTAAAAAAAACATAAGCATACATAAACATATCTTTTATAAGCCAAGAAGTTAGGCTATAATACTATTATATTCTGTGATCTTTAATCATATACACAAATATATAAGTATGATAATCCATTATGATAATCAATTATGCAAAAACTACCTTTATCCTGCATGAATAGAATCAAACATAGAGTATACACAACAAAAAGAGGTGTCTGGCTCTATTTCTTTGAGCGATAGTGAATTTGAATCTAGAAAAAATTCAGAGAGTGATGAATTCTTTACAAGACAACCAAAAAAATGTACTGGTCTATCTAAAACTGCGAGGAGGAAAAAAAAAAACCTAATGAAAATAATAAAACACTAAATGATAAAAGCACTAATAAACCCGTTAGTAATCAGGCAACAAATGATAAAAGCACTAATGAACCCATTAGTAATCAAATAACTAGC